ACCATGGGTTCTCCTCCTCCAGTGTTTCCACGGTGGTGAAGAGCTGGATGCACTCCTGCAGCTGCACGGTGCTCTGCTGCAGGGGAACGTCCATGCTGCCGTGTTTCATGTACTTCTGCGGCGCGACCACAGCAAAGAGCGCGCCGGCGGCGCAGAGCCGGCCAGGCGGGGCTTTAGCTCGAGTGGTCATCTATTTTTTTTTTCAATGTCAAGTGCTATCATGAAAATACTTGGTGCCATATTTTTCTTTCGATTACATATTTGCCATTTTAAAAAAATAAATGTGTATATATACACACACACACACACACACACACACGCACACACAGGGCACCTAGCTTAAAAATTATCTTTAAAAAAAAATAAAAATGTAAAAAACGAATTGATTTTTTTTCCCTTTGCTCACAAAAAAAGCAGCTGGCCACAAGAGTTGACATTTGATGTTGTTCAATTTCCACAACAATAACACACTGACCTCTGCCTCATTTTCATTGTAGAATCTTTTCTTGGTTTCGGCGTCCCAGTCAAGCGCCACGTACGGCTGTGCTGCTCACACACACAAACACACACACGAGCCACATATACCAAACGTACTCTTTGCGAGTCCGAGTCATTCGCCAGAGTGAGTTTGCAAATGCGCGAGCGCACACTCACAGCTGAGGGTCATGTCGGGGCCCATTTCCCGCTCAAGGCCGTTGCAGTTGACCGCCTGGATGTCGAACAGGCGCTTCTTCCTGCGACACGCCCTCGTCTTGGCCGCTTGTTGGTTGGCCGGCGAGCTGGGAGAACACGCCTCCTCCCGCTTGTCGTCGTCGTCGTCGTCGTCGTCTTGGGCGCCGGCGTCACGTTGTGGTGCCGGCGCCGCCGCCTCCTCCTCTTCCTCCTCCTCCTCCTCGTTCTCCTCCTCGGCCACTTCAGTCCGGCTCTCTTCGCCGCGGGCGTGGATGTGGCCGTCGTTTGGGCCGGCGTCGCCGCTGCAGGGGGGCTTGGCGACGCCGGCGCACGCGTTGTGGACGTCGCCCTCCTCCGGAGGGGGCGGGGCCCGAGCGTGGCCCTCCGAGGGAACGGCGGGGTCCCGGTGGCGGCCGTTTGCCGACCTGTCGGGGGAGCGCGCCCCCGACTGCGAGCATCCCGCTCGTTCCGCATCCTCTTGCTCGTCATCTGAGCGGCCGATTGGGACATAGACGACAAAACGACGTCACCGAAGCCGAAGGGGGTCTCGATTTGTCAGCTCGAAGATCGCCTCTCGCGTCGGCGGCGGGTTTGTTACCGTCGCTGACGCCGTTGGTCTGGCTTTTATAGAGCTCGTCTTCATCGTCATCTTCCTCCAGCTCCTCGGAGGCTTTGGGCACCCGCACGTAGCGCCTGCACGCACACGGCAAAGCGTTTTAGCGCGGGGGCCGGTCACGCGGGTGACCTCGTTAAGCGCCGAGCGCTACGCACGCCAGTCGCTCCAGGAAAATGGGGTAGAGCGCCTCCTGCGTGCAGCTGGCGCGCGGCACGCTGAGCAGCAGCGGGTGGCCGAAGAGCGTGGTGCTGACCGAGCCGTAGTCTCGGTAGTGGGAACGCTCCCTCAGGTAGAGCGCCACGAGCGTCTGCTGCTCGCTTTGCACGTTGCACTCGTACCTGGCCACAAACACACAATCGGTCCGTGTGACGCCACGAAAGGCCTGACCTGACGCGCAGCCGGCGGAGGCGGAGCTTCGCCGTACACAAAGATGTCGTCCCGGTCCAGGATGCAGTTCAGCGATTCGTCTGGCGTGTAGATTTTATAGAAGCGATGTTTGAACACGTCGGCAACCACCATCTGACACGCACACACGCACATTTTGAGCTGTCGTATCATTTGCATCGGCCCGGCGGCGCGCGGTCAAACAAAATGAAAAAGACACAAAACAAACAATGTTTTGTCCTTGCCCTTCAGTCAAGGTGAAGAATATTCATGTTGGGTTCAAAAGTTTTCCGGTGACGGAAAAAAAATCTATTCTTACGACGGTTTACCCTCACCTGAGTTTCTGGCACACCGGTTGTCTGGGACAAAGCCAAGCAGAGGTCCAACACTTTTCCCGCCTTGGCGACCACCACGCGATGCTGCACGTGCGCGCACACGCACACACACGTTATCTTACAGATTCCGATGGGCTCAATTTAGGCTGACGACTTCAAAAAACAAAATAAAATAAAAACCGGTCATAAATTGCCGGCCACGGACCTGCATGGGTTTGGCGTACGGGTCGAGCGAGATGAAGAAGACCTCCATGACGCGCTCCTTGCTGACAGGGAGCGGAATGCTGAGGTAGCAGAAGGGGTCAAAGGTGACGGACACCTTTTGGCACTGGGGGCAAATCAGCGTGGACTTGAAGAGGCCGTGGAAGGTGTCGACGATCACCGAGTCGTTGCGCCGTCTGTGGTTCCGCCACGCCTCCTCGGCCACTTCCTGCTTGAGCAGCCACACGCGGAAGATGCACCCCCCCCGGGCCCCCCCACAAAAAAAGGACAGAAAAATAAAGTTTGATTTAACGAAGGAGAAAAAAAATAAAGTCGAGCTGAGACCTCAATCCAATTCCAAATGTGACGCCTTCATAATCAAACACCTTTGCGCAGTGGAGGACTCCATTTCTCTTCTTGTGCATGCAAGTTAATTGAGTCAGCATGGCGAAGGAGCGCTGAGCACATTCTAGGTTGGATATCGAACACGAACATTGGAGACTTTTTCCTCGAAACGTATTTTCTAAATAAATAACACAATGACCCCCCCCAAAAAAAAAAAAAAAAGATTTCCTCTCTTAATACCAACATTTTTGGAGCCTGTTTTTCTCATCAATTGACTCCCATCACATCTTGGGGCCTTTCCCCAAAAAACAAAGGATTTCATTTGACGGGAGGATAAAGATCCAAATCACAACAACGTTCCGTGAGATCTGAAAGAAGGGGAGGTGACCTGGTCCGGGCGTCCTTCGGCATCCCGCAGCTCGATGTATTCTTTATTCTTGACTCGGTTCAGGTCCTCATGCAGCCCGTCCAGCAGGAAGGAGAGCAGCTCTTGACTGTCGTGCTGCTGGTAGCCCAGAAACTGAGAAGCAAAGTGGCCCACTTTCGTCTGCGCACACACACAGACACACACACAAGAGGCGTCAGGCGTCGGGCGCGGCGCCGCCGGCTGTCCGCTGGCGCGGCGCGACGGCACCTTGAAGACGCGCGGCACCACCGAGTAGTGGTGGCCCGACCACATCTGCTTGATGACGTCGGCGTAGGCCTCGGCGATCTCGCCCTTCATGCCCAGCGGGTTGGAGAAGTTGAGCTCCTCCAGGTAGGAGCTCTGCAGGAAGTACTCGGTCAGCGGGGGGGTGTTGCTCAGGCACTGCATTGGGGGAGCGAAAAGCGGGTCAGCAAGCGCGTTGAGCGTCTCTCGGCCCGCGTCCGCACGCGCGCGTCACACACCTGCAGAGCGGAGTTCATGAAGCAGGTGTTGCCGAGGTTGGTGAGGCCGCAGACGCCGGGCTGACCTCGATACGAGTCTTGCTCCTCCGGAGAGTTCCTCCTGGAAAACAATCGGTGGGCTTTGTGGGGACGTTCTGAATGCTGCCATTGGCCAGCTCGCGAGCGCCGCCACGTCTTCTTCACGCCAATCGGCGGGCGTACAATCAATTGCGAATCAACGCAAGTTGACGGACGAATGCCTCAACATGTGCGCGTCACTCACAGGCCACCGTATTCCATCCAACGCACACCCTGAAGTGCGCACGCTGCCACACGCGACCGTCTCCACGTCCGAAATGAAATCGGGCGTCGGCCACAATGGAAGCGGCCGTTTTAATGCGAGCAACGCCTCCCTCAACGCTACAAACGCTTAGCGTGCAACAGGACGTGGTGTGAACATAAAACGCGCACGGTCGACAGTGTGCGCTCATGGCCGCTTGCCAACACCGCTGTAGCGATGGCAAAAACTCAATCGGGCACCAGAAAACCGTCCGCTTTCCTTGTAAGATGCTCGTTTATCACCGCCGTGCTACAGTGAAACTCCTCTACAACGAAACCTACATGGGCGAAAATACCCCCTCGTGTGAAAAAAATGTTCATGCATGAAAGCCATTCCCACTTTTCTGCTCCCCCTACGACGAAAAGTCCCCCTGTTCCGTGATACGAAATCTTTTTCTCTGCTCTTGCCTCGCAAACAACGAAAACAAGCCTTCCGCAAAAGTCTAATCCAACAGCGACCTCTACTGCTTCGTTCGAAAACGGCAACAGCAACCACCACGCTGGTTCACACATGCGCAGTAGTCCAGGAAGTATTTGTTAGTGTTAGTTTCAGACGCAGAACGAACGTTGCATTGCTAAAATGGCGACAAAACGGAACTTTGGATGTCAAGCAGCTAAGACAAGAAGAGCTCTGACGCTGGAAGAGCGGGTAAAAGTGATTGATCAAAACGAAAGATGGAGGAAGCAAAGTAAAAGACATTACGCAAGAAATTGATGTACGTGAAAGTGAATGTTGATCGTAAATTTCGCAATTTCTTTCCAGTTTTTAATTTTCTACACTGGCTATATGAAGTGTCAAATAAGTGTATGCTGGAATAAAAATAAAAAAGAGTACACACCAACGTTTTGTGTGCGTGTGTGTTTACATCTGAGATAAAATTTGCTACAGTGAAAAGCCCCCTGTTGTGAAACATTTCTTGCTGCAAACATGATTTCGTCGTAGAGGAGTTTCACTGGACCACGAAAAGGAGTAAAAACAAACAAACAAACAAACAAAAGTCAAACAAAGTTGCTTACAGAATTAAAGGTCTGGTGCTCGGCCAAGTGCCGTCAGCATTCCTCGTCTCCATGATCACAGTCTGAAACGCACACACAATGAGTCAAGAGAAAACGGGCGAAATTCAACATTCGGACCAAGTCATTTCGTACTCATGAATATGACAATGAAGTGGTGATATTCGTGTCAACGTCGTTTTACGTGATCATTTCATGAGAATCAAGGGAGAGAATAAAGTTGAAATGCGCTTCAATTACGATTTCATGAGAAGAAACGGTAGCCGTGCTGATTAGGATGAAGCAAGTCGTCGTGGGCAAAGGAAATGTGGCGCGCCTGCTCGCTCACCATGCCGGAGCTCAGGCAGGCGTCCAGCACGCTCACGTGGACGTTCCGGAGACGTTCGCAGTTGTTGTCCGAACTTTTCATCCAGAGGCGACACTCGCACGTCGACGGCAGCGAGAAGACCCGACACATGGCCGACTGGATCGACTCTGTGAAAATGTCAAATGTCAGTCCCGGTGCGACGACTTGCGCCAAACCAAACGGGCAAAATGTTGCACTCAGGGGTTACAATTTATTCTCAAGGTTTTCAAAAAGGAAAAAAGACAAAATATAAAAATATGTGAAAATGCAAAAAAAAAAAAAAAAAGGTTGAATTGTATAATTCATATTTGCTTGGACTAGAATAAAACAATGATGCCATCGATGATAAAAATAGTTGAGCCTCTTATTTTGTAGCCAATAAATAATTTCATTTGAATTCATTTGGCAAATATTCAATAAAATCCAAAAAGAATTGTTTCGCACTCGCTTGTTTGAAATGAACGTGATTGCACTTTCATTTGTTTTATTTAGTGCCGTAAAATATCATGTCATGTGTCTTTCGGAGTGAAATGAACACTTTTGCTGAGATTTTTTTTTATCAGATCAGGTCACATGCATGGTTTGGAATGGGTGATCAACGACAAAAACAAAACAATTTTGTACATTTCATCTTTCAAACGTTTGTTATCCATGGGCTCATCTAATGATCAAGAACACACGAACAAAATTACAGAAACTACCCCAACCGTCACCCTTTTATTTTCCTGATAAAACTCCCACCGCCAAGGAGCTGGCCCCATCGCTCCGTTTTCCAAACAATTTGCCAAGCAAAACTCACGTATGCTGTCGGTGCGGCTAAAGTGCGCCGTGGTGACGTTCTCCATGTTGCCGTGGAGACAGAGGAAGAGCTCCACTGGGTAAACTTCCACCTTGAGCGTGCTGGGCAGGTCCACCACCTGAAGCGCACACGACAACGCGAGGGCGTGACTCACATCGCTCCAGAAATTTCAGTGTGTGGGGGGAGTGGGCGGGGGATCCCAAAAGTCACCTTTCGTTCCAGCGGCGGCTGCTGGTCCACCATCCCGTACCAGGACAGGAGCTTGTGCCAGGCCTCGGCGGGCACCAGGACAAAGTCCTCGTTCTCCACCAGACGCTCTTTCAGGTGGTACGAGTCCACATCTGAAGTGACGAAAGCCGCTTAATACGCCGGCGCGGGATGCAATCGCCATATCACGAGGAAATCAATCTTGTGACGTTGCATAATCGCAGGATGAGGAAAAATGAACGCGCGCGCCACCTTGGAAGCAGGAGACCGCCGAGAGAGGAGCAAAATCAAGTTCCTGGACATAAGCAATGTTGGCGGCCCGCCACATGACCAAGAAATATCGATCTCCAAAACTAACCTTTGACATGGGCCGCGAAATGAGTTCAAAAAGGGGAAGGTGGGCAAAGTGAGAAGGGACGGAACTTTGCGCTCTCTTCTTCTTCTTCTCCTTTCGGCTTGTCCCTTTTCAGGGGTCGCCACAGCGAGTCATTAATTTCCATCTTTCCCTGTTCTCTGCATCCTCTACTCTTGACTCAACTACCTGCATGTCTTCCCTCACGGTATCCATGAATCTCCTCTTTGGCCTTCCTCTCTGTCTCCTACCTGGTAGCTCCATCTGTAACATTCTCCTACCAATGTATCCACTGTCCCTCCTCTGTAGATGTCCAAACCATCTCAGTCTGGCCTCTCTCACTTTTTCTCCAAACATTCCTGTCTGAGTTGTCCCTCTGATGACCTCATTTCTGATCCTGTCCATCCTTTTCACTCCGAAGGAGAATCTCAGGATATTTAACTCAGCCACCTCGAACTCTGCCTCCTGTCTTTTCCCAATTGCTAGTGTCTCGAAACCGTACATAATGGCTGGTCTCACAACTGTTCTGTAAACTTTTCCCTTCACCTTAGCTGACACCCTTCTATCACAAATCACTCCTGAC